ATATAAAATTGCTAATCACATGTAATCATTTTTAACCCTAACTATCTGTTCCATATGCCATGAAACCCAAATTTTATTTAATAATGATTTATGTTAAAGCTTAGTGTTGAAAATCTGAGCAAATACAAACTTACATGAAGGTGGAAGAAGAGACTTTTGCTAGGTTGTTGTATGGGACTGATAGGTGTGTGAAGACTTGTACATTTTACTATATTAATAGAAGTTATGTAATTGTTCATGTAGGCAGCCAAAAACATATTATTGTTTGTATTTAACATGGCATCTTAGCATGTCCTTGGGCATACATCCTCTAAAACATTGCTGTTACCTTTCCAATGTGGAAACCTTTTATTCAACGTGAGGCATTAGAAATCAGGAGCCTAACTAAATTTTTGGAACAATGGCTTTGAGGGACTAAAGAAACACATCTTCCCGTCCTGATGTCCCAGAGAGTATAATATGAAGAAGTGCTATATTTCAAAAATAGAGCAAGCGGAATCATCAAAAGTATGTCAGTGCTGAGGGCAGCCTGGAAAGGAAATAATTTACAAGGCAAATTGCTGCTGCTAATGGTTTGCAGCTACAATGAGTTTGTTTTGGAACTGTGGAACAAATTGTGTTAGACATTCTCAGCTTGCAGAGAAAACAGCATGTTTTCATGCTGTTTGTTGCATTGTGATATCAAGGTGTTGTATAACTGAGGCTGGACATATAAATCAAGATTTTCTTTAACTGTGCAACTGCATCTAAAGTAAGCTTGTAAGAATATTTTTTTTTAATGTGACATTAGTGCAGTCATTCACAAAAGCGTGATTCATGGGTGTTTCCATCCATCCAGAATTCATGGGTATTTCCATCCGAACAAACTTTAAAAAGAAATTAACCTGGATTAAAATGCTGTTACTGTAGACAGGTTGTTCCCATCCAGCGGTAATTTCATTAACCGTCTGTTGGAATTACACAGTTCTGAGCACTGAAAATGTTTGACTGCCTTCAAGAAGGCAGCTTATATGGAATAAATCAGCACTTTTTAATGAAATTCATTCTGTTGAACAAGCTGAATTTGAAGGTTAGAAGTGACTCAAATGTTTACCAAAGCACTTTGGTAAAAGAAAAGTTAGTGGCGGAAGTCAACTAGAGCCACATTTTTCCCCTCAGGTATTTACACAGGAGCTCTGTATGGGTAGAGGACTGAAACAGAGAGGATTGTAGCTCTGGTGATTGTAAGAGAGATGGTAGCGTCTGAGGGGAGGCCTGATGTATTCCTCCTACACGAGAGCTGTCTTGCCAGTGTGATGCACTGAAGAGTTTCCTTTCTCTAATTAGCTCTGTATCATTAGCCTTCCTTCTACTCCTAGGGTAGGTGGGGTGTACAAAATAGCGTAAGGTGATTCAGTTTCTTTTTATGTGCATCAAAGGAGGCGTACACACGCGTGTCTGAAAAAGCACTTTTAAATTTTAAATAAGTGCCGGCACAGAAAATGAAGAACATGCCCTGGGGAAGAATTCAAACATCTGTTCCGCTGCTGTGGTTATACCTGCACTACGTGACACCTCAGCTCACAGCATCATTTCTTTGTTTCACCGGGGCGAAAAAAAAACAGTGACAACTTCTCTCCTGCCCCTTGTTTAACTCACATGCTTTTTAAAATATGCAAAACGTTCGAAAATAGCTGTGGTGAAAGAGTTACTTTAGCTTGCTTTTTGGACTAGGATTCCTGCCTTTTAAAGTCTTGGGAGGGAGGCCTATTAGAATGTCTTTTCTGACTGTGCGCTGGAGGCCTTGTACATCCCATGCAGAGCACACCTACATTTGTTTATGGTAGGTCTTACGGTGCTGAACACTTACTGCAAATACATTTTAAGAGCATGGAGGGGTTTCTGTTTTCTGGGCGCGACGTTGTTGTTTGCCTCATTGTGCAGTGGCTTGTGCTAGGCTGTGACTGACGGCTGCCCTGGTTGTGGCTGAGGCAGGCAGTAGTTCCCAAAGGTTTTATCCCTCCCTGCTTAGCTAGAAACACTTCGCACCTTTTGAGGTTTCTTGAGTCAAAGCCTTGGCTCAGGCCTGTACCGGGTGCGTATCAACTCATCTGTGTGCTTTGAGTGGAAGCTATACTGTGCATTGCCCACAACAAAAAATGCTCTTTGGAGGCTTTTAAATAGAAGTGCTAGAACTATTTACATTTATGTTGCAAATAAGAAAATTACTTCTATTAAGAGTAATTGAAAAAACGGAAATGAGTAGTTTGGGGGGGGGGGAAAAAGAGAGCTAAGGAAAGTGGTGGGAGGAGAGCCTGTTTCTCTGGAGCCAGTTTGAGCATCTGGAAGGGGAGGCTGGGCTCAGCATTGCTGCGGCTGTACAGTAGGGACTAACATGCAACATGGCTTGGAATTGAAATCACAAAAAATGTACCGAATCCTATGGCTGCTCCTTGTGGGAGAACTGAGTTTGGAGTCCTGATCTGGGCCTATCACTGAAATTCTCGAATGATTAGACAGAGTGCTTTATTACAGAGTGTCAAATAATTTGACAGAGATGGTTGCTGCATTCTTAGAAATAGAATTGTCTCATGTTGTCTGCTGCTCTGCTTCTGTGTTACAGTTAGTGAAGCTGTGTGATATGCATTTGCCTTCCAGTCTTATGAGCTTTTAGATAGCTTAATTATTTAAAGTATTTTCCTTCTCAAGGAAGGAGAGCAGATGATAAAATTAGCTGAGACAAAGAATTGGGTCACATTTCTTTCCCTCATAACCAAATGTACAATACTCACCAAAAAATAAAAGCAGATCATTTCTGTTGATGGTAATTTCTACCAATGAATAATTCCTACTGGTCAAATATGATGTCCTGGAACACGTTTGCAGAGCACTTTGCTGGAATAGCTTATAATGATATCATGGATAGAAACTGGACAGTAATTGCTCCATCTCTCTTCTAAGAAAATATCACTGTTTTTCAGGAAATGCTGAAATAATAATTTCTACACACACATTCACATATGCCATTTTATTCATTAAATAACAAAGTGAAACATAAGACAGCTCACTAAGGCAGGCTGGCTTGGAAGACAAGAAATGAGCAAGTGGAAACAGTTCTTCTGCCCAAAGGGATGTCACTCTGAGATGATCATGAAGTTAAGTTCTGCAGTGGGATTTGAGATTTGAAACTTGTTGATAAACTATAGATTTCTTGTGGAGAGTCTGGACAAATCACTTTAGTGTCTGCAACATCTGTGTGACAGGAGCAGTGCTTTTTTTTTTTTTTTGAATCCAGAAGAATCCTTTGAAGAAAAATTCACAAGTGTTGAATTATAGCATCATAGAATCGTTTGAGTTGGAAGGGACCTTAAAGACCATCTAGTACCAACCCCCCTGCCATGGGCAGGGACCCCTTCCACTAGACCAGGTTGCTCAAAGCCACATCCAGCCTGGCCTTGAACACTTCCAGGGATGGGGCATCCGTACATTCTCTGGGCAGCCTGTGCCAGTGCCTCACCCCCCTCTCCGTGAAGAATTTCTTCCTGATATCTAATCTAAGCCTCCCTGCTTTCAATTTAAACCCGTTGCCCCTTGTCCTGTCACTACAGGCCCTTGTAAAAAGTCCCCCCCAGCTTCCTTGTAGGCCCCTTCAGGTCCTGGAAGGCTGCAATAAGGTTTCCCCGGAGCCTTCTCTTCTCCAGGAATAACAAGCCCATCTCTCTCAGCCTGTCCCCATAGCAGAGGTGCTCCAGCCCTCTGAGCATCTTCGTGGCCTCCTCTGGGCTTGCTCCAACAGGTCCAGTTACACTGGGGGCGCCAGAGCTGGATGCAGTACTCCAGGTGGGGTCCCACAAGAGGAGAGTAAAGGGGGAGAATCACATCCCTCGACCTGCTGGTTATGCTTCTCTGGATACAGCCCAGGATACAGTTGGCTTTCTGGGCTGCCAGCGCACACTGCCAGCTCATGTTCAGCTTTTCTTCCACCAGTACCCTCAAGTCCTTCTCCTCAGGGCTGCTCCCAATCCATCCTCTGCCCAGCCTGTACTTGTGCTTGCATATGTCGACTGTACCACACAGATTGGTGTTGTCAGCAAACTTGCTGAGGTTGCCCTCAACCCCGCTGTCCATGTTGCTGACAAAGAGGGTGAATTGCGCTGGTCGCAACACTGATCCCTGAGGAACATCAGTCATTATTGGTCTTCTCTTGGACATTGAGCTGGTTATCACAGCTCTGTGAATGGGACCATCCAGCCAATTCCTTATCTGAGTGGTCCATCCATCAAATTCATGTCTTTAGTTTAGAGACAAGGATGTTGTGCGGGACAGTGTCAAATGCTTCGCACAATTATTTCTGCCCTTTCATAAACAAACCTAAACTCAAATAAAGTAGTTTTATTGCTGCTGTTCTTTCTAGTGTTGTTGAAGCTTTCTTCTGTTGATAAACCCTGTGTATGCATCGATACATTGTTCATAGAATCATGAACTGGTTTGGGTTGGAAGGGACCTTAAAGATCATCTAGTTTCAAGCCCCCTGCCATGGGCAGGGACACCTTCCACTAGACCAGTTGTGCAGCAATGGCTCTGTGACTCTGCTTCTCATTCAGAACAGGCTTTATTTTTGTCATGGTGTCCCAGCTTTGGGGAGAAGTATAGCTGCAAGATATCTTAAAGGAAATTGAATTGCCACTACCCTGGGTCTGCTTTAATTAATAATTTCGGTTTATGTTGTTTGGGTCTTTTGCATGGATTCCTTAGTGTTTGAAGGAATTTGGCTTGTATTTTGTGTTTCAGGATTTGGATAGGATAGACATACACACACACATCTAATTCTGCAGGTATCTGAAGTTAGATTTGACAATTCTTTTATATGAGAAAAATTTTTTCTTTGCCTTTGTACTGGTGTTAAAACTGGGGACTGGTCAGTATGAATCAATGTATTAGTATCTAACTGCATGGGTCATACCCACGGATAACTCTGAGTGGTGTAACTCTGTTTTACTTGCTTTGACTCTTTCTTGCAGAGTTCCAAAGTGCTTGCAAAGAAGGAGCTCTCCTACATGCCTATCATTGGGTGGATGTGGTATTTCCTAGAGATAGTCTTCTGCAAGCGTAAGTGGGAGGAAGATCGGAAAACAGTCATGCAGAAGTTGCTGAATCTCCGTGATTACCCTGAAAACTTTTGGGTGAGTGATGACTAACAAGTGGAGTGCGAGGTGCTGTAGTGCTTGGGTGAGATGAAGGGTATAGACAGTATGTGGTAGTTGCCAGGTTGCTCACAAGAACTTCATGATTCATGAGCTTCCTGTCAGTAACAGAAGAGTATACTCTAAGAATGGAATTTTCTCTTGTATTTCCCATGTAATAGTCTTTGTTGTCTGTTTTCTTCCTCTGTAGTATGGAGCCCTACAGATGTTATTGCAAAAATACCTCCACTGTGATCAATTCACTAAACTTTGTGATCCTCTAACTACAGTAACTGGAGAGGGGTAGATGCAGGGGTTCATGGTGGTTTGAGGTGCATGTGACAATGTGGTATTGAAACACATTAGCTCTATTCTTTACCTAAGCTCCCCTCTCACTCATTGCTGAGTTCTTACTGGTATTTCTTCCTTCCATTTCCTTGTGATTCTGTCGTTCCTGTGAAGGTGCTAGGTCAGACGTGGCCCAGTAGAAGTGGAAGCCAGTGATAAGTACCTGATCAGGGAAGTAATGCCTGGGGCCATCAGCTGTGTAACAGGGACAGGATTTCAGTAACAGGAAAGCGTTACTTTTTGCATCACCATCATTTTTTTGTATTGAGCCTGCCTGGCATTTCCTACAATGGGAATGAAAAGCCTTTGATTTTTTTCTCAGTAATCAGAAAACTCTTCATTCTCCTAAGCTGGTGATGGTGAGAGGGATTCAGTTAAGGAAATGGTACCTTAAGCACCCTCACAAAGGCCTACAGAAACTGCTGCTTAAGAAGCAATTTCCTGGTGAAGATGTATATGCTGTATCTCTCGTTCTCTGTAACAAAACTTATTTTTAAATTGTTGTTGATTTAAATGAGCACTAAGCAATCAAAACTAAGCTCTGTGCTTGGATAGTGATTAAATGACTTCCAGGCAGGAGGCTGTCTAACAAAGTGACAATTCTTGGTCTCTAGTCCCTGTCTATCTCACAGAGTTTTGCCTGTGCTCTGTGACTTAGGTGTTGCATCCTTTCTGTACACCTAGGCAGTTCATCACTAACCGGTGAGCACAAACTACCACCATCCTTTATATACTTGCAGAGGTAAGGAGCTAAGAAGGAGCTATACCTGCAGTAAGACAGTAACACAATTGTTGATGCACACCTGTGTACACATTGCAGTGTGGAGTTTTAATTTGCCTTTCTGTGGTGACATAATGTCAAAAGGCACAGCAAATAGCACCTTGGAAGGTAGAAAGACAGAGCAGGCTACGTGGGCTAGAAGGACTTTCTCATCAGGTTCTATGTGTTTCATCTAGCTGTGTAACACTGTGCATGTTATACATGGGTGAAAGTGCTATTAGATGAGCTGGAACTGAAGCTAGCTGCTTGGCTAGTTTTCTACTCCCTGTTGGCTAAATCTTTGCTGTGGGTTATGAGGACTTAGCTTGTGCAATTTGGCAATGCTGTCTGATGTGTTAGTTGGTGTTCAGGCTTGGCAGAAAGCAGATGAGCAAGTGGTAAATCTCCAAAGATCTGTCTGCTTTCTTCTGCCTGCCAGTGGCAAAATTGTAGTTGTTCATGTCTGGGTACTTCCACTGTATAGTTCATAAGGTGTTGAGGCTTTCAGTTGTCATGCATCTACTTCCTTACATCTGTTATCAGCTCAGTCATTGGCACCAAGGTTACTGTCTGCAGTTGTCAGTGGTCCTCGTGCCGTGGTGAAAGCAAGTGGGTTGGAGTAAGGTGAAGCCAGCTGGGCCCTGAAGTGTTTGGTTTAGATACTTACCAAGTTTTAGATACCATGACGCTCAAACACCTCACCATCAGTAAGAGATTTGCAACAGGAGGTATGTTTTGAGTGTTTTCTTAACCCTGTTAAGGGGTAGAGTGACTCATTTAGGGAAATTGAATCATTCTGATAGCAAGTACGGAGCAGTTAAAGACTAAAGGCTAGAGTTCAAACCAGAGGATAGCAAGTTGGATGGGTGGGGGAAAATTGGGAGGGTTTGGTTTTGGGTTCTTTGGGTTTCTTTTGCCTATGACCCCCCTCCACTCCAAGACAATTAAATTACCTTAAATGTGTATATGGTTCAGTTGGGTTATGTTGATGGGAAGCAGAGAGGACTCTGGTCAGACAGATGTAGAAGACCTGAGCTGCTGTCTAACGATAGTTCTCTCTTGGTTTTAGTTCCTGATTCATTGCGAGGGCACAAGGTTCACAGAACAGAAGCACCAAATCAGCATGCAGGTAGCCGAAGCCAAAGGCCTGCCCAAGCTCAAGTATCACCTACTGCCACGAACAAAAGGATTTGCTGTCACCGTGCAGTGTTTGAGAAATGTAGGTAAGGAAAGTCCCAAGGAATAACACAGAATGGTTGTTTCATGTAACTGTCACTTTGCCATGCTCTCCTTTTCCCTGTAGCATGTATCATAGCAGAAAAGCCCTGGGATCCTTTCTGACCTTTCTTTCACTATCCTGTGAAAATTAAAGATTAGGTTTTATTAACAAAGTCCTGGAGTAACATGTTTTGGCTTGTGGGTTTTTTATTTGTTTTCTTTTCTTTTCCTGTGAGTCTGTATCAGGGGATTTCAAGTTGCGTGTTTCAGACCTGTTGCCAAAGGATATTTCTTCATGTTTACTAAGAAATCCTATTCCAAATGAAGCAACCACATCATTAAAGAATCTGAGGCAGTATGTCTTAAATATTTTCTTGTGTTAAATATCTGCCTCAAATAACATCATTTTCTGCTTTAAATTTCTGTATAGATGTAATCTTTAGAGTTTCTTTGTGGAGCTGGGGAAGGCTAAAGATACACGTAGGCAAAGTTTATAAATAAACTATTTCTTTGTTACAGAACATGAGTAAGTTTTTCTTTCTTAATGTTGTTCTGAACTCCCCACTTGCCAGTTATTTCTGGTTACTTGCATTTGCCAACTTGAAAGTGCCATCAGTAAGAATATGGCACACATGCCTTTGAAGTGATTTTCTCTGACTAATACAATCCATCAAGGTCTTCTGCTGTGTACTTCATGGGCAAAGCAAAAAAAGTGCTAAGTAGCCATAGTACTACCGTGTCTTTGGGTTTTGGTGGGTTTGTGTGCTGTTAGGCAGCCTATATGAAAGAAAGACAAAGCGGTTGGTGGTTTAGAAGAAAATGTCCTAGCTTGACTGAATTTAATGTCAAAACTTCTTTTGTCTTTGAAGACGTGTTTTCATGTGGCATATCTGGGATAGCTGCTGTAAAAAAGCTTTGCAGTCAGCTGTCTTGCTGTCTGTCATGTTTCTTCTACATATCCTCTTGCGAGTCAGGTAGATGATATCAGTGTTTTAGCTTGTCAGGCATCCACAGCTTCCCACCCCCAAAATGGATAGCATAGCTTGGATCATTTCTGATATGAGAAGAAGAGGTGCAGCATCCAGCAACTTCTTTAAGGGCACAGTTTAACCTTCAGTTTTGAATAAGGGCAACTGTTTTGCTGGGGGTGGGGGGAAGATAGACTTGAGACACTGAAGAAGAGCTGATTCTAAACTCTGTGACCTCGAATTCCCTGAGCTGGGACAGGTTATTTTGGTGGCGATTTTCTTCTTTGCACTACTCCGTATAAAGCAAGCAAAACATGGTATGCTTCTGGACATGTAGCTGATTTGTGGGAAAATGTTTCAAAAGGAAACAGTTTCAGGGAACCCAAGTGACGTCTCTATAAAAGGTTTGGGGCATTTATGTCATGCACTACAGTAACACTTTTTAAGATCTGAAATATTTGACATACTTTTAGAAAAAGAAGACTGAGATTGTTAGATTACTTACCTGCTTAGGGAAGGGTATGTTACTGCCTCAGTCCACAAGCTGTGACTTGCTAGATCAAACAGGGTAAGGCTAATAAGGAGGAAATACTTCCCTGTGTGGGTTCCACAAGAAGCATAGACTCACAGAATGGCTTGGG